TATCAGTGTTGATATTAACTAAAATAAAACTATTAAAAATCATATTCATTAATTGAAATAAAGTTAAAATACAATAAAATGTAAATACTAGATGAAAAAAATACTTAAAACTAAAACAAATAGAGTACTAAATTTACTCAAACTGAAGTATATATAAATATAATAGTAAAAACAGATATATAAATGTTAAATAAAAAACGTCTTAAACTTAAAAAAGTTGAAGTACTAAATTTACTCAAAAACTGAAATAGATGTAAATATAATAGTAGAAATAGATAAAAAATATAAATATTTAAAAAATGCACAACTTAACAACATTAAAATAAAAATATGGAACTAAAAGCTCATTAAAAATACGAATAAATATTATAATGTATATAAATAATAATAAAATATCACTGTGCATGACAAGAATGAATAGAAATTCACTGGTTATAATTCTAAACCAGAATATATTCAAGCTCACTGAATTCACTGAAAACACAAATATTATCTGTTGACACGGTTTGTCCCACAGAAACTGTATGAGTTTGACCTTTGACCCTTAGGAGCAGAAGGTCACAGCTGTGAGCACACAGATCTGAGTCTCTCTGAGAACAGAAAGCCGTCAGTAACCATGTGTTTGAAGAGCGTCAGGTTTGTGTGTTTGTCGGTCTCTGCTGGTTTTTCACTTTGTGTAACTCATCACAGTTTATCTTTAAATGCAATCAAGCAGAGCAGACCGATCTAAGATGAACTGGTAATAAAATGCATGCATCTAATGATTGCTGAAGATGTTCAGTACCTATACAGACGGGACAGCATTCCCATTCAGGAACGTAGAAATTCTCGCAGTCCAGTTCGGCGCATTCGGCTTTAGAGCAGAACGACACTCCAACTCGACACTGACACAACCAGCAGGGGTCCATACGGTACACCTCGCCTTCTGTGAACTCCTTACCGTTATGAACACACCTGGGAGAAACTACACAACAAAACACCATTTTAGTCTGGACTGTCTTGATATATATATATATATATATATATATA